AGTGGTCAGTCCAGATGGAATAATTTGCAGTCTCATAGGTGCATATGAGGGACGTCGGCATGATGCTGGGATTTTAAGAGAGTCAAACCTGTATAACCAGTTAGAACGGCGATGTAAATTTCCAAATGGAGAAAATTTTGTTCTATATGGAGACCCTGCATATGCAATAAGAGAACTGCTAATTTCTCCATATCGAAATAGAAGACTCACTGATGAGCAACAACAGTTTAACACCCGAATGAGTTCAGTCAGACAGGCGGTAGAATGGGGATTTGGAAAGATAATAGCGGAATTTGCTTTTTTAGATTTCAAAAAAAATCAGAAGTTATTATTGCAAGACATAAAAAAAATGTATATAACTGCTACAATATTAACAAATTGTCATACCTGCCTTAACGGCAGTCAAACATCTGAATACTTCAATATTGTGCCTCCCACACTGCGTGAATATTTAGGTCAATAATTAACACATATGTATACCAAAGTGTTTATTGCAAAATATGTAAATTATAATTAATTAATGTGCGTGTGTAATCATGATTTTTTTGTGTTAGATAGTTTAATAAACCACATAGCAGTGTTGCTGTTGTTGCATTAATATCGTATGATTTTTTCTTTCTGTAATTTCGGCATCTAATTGGATTTTTCGTTCTTCTTTTTCCGCTTCAAGTTTCTGTACCTCCACAGCTAATTTCTTTTCCTCCAATGCAAGACGACGTTCTTCTAAGTTTAATTGTTTTTGTTTCAATTCATATTCCTGGTATGTTCTTTTGTTCAAAAATTCTAAACAGCCCTTGATCTTATCTTCCCTCTTTATTCTTTTGTGAGAGGGTTCTAAATGATACGGTATTGTATTAGTAATGTGACAAATATTGAATTAAATAACACCTACCCAATAGTGTTGGAGTTGAAGATCCCGATGAAACTTCTGCATTATCGTTTGACCCTGATGCAGAACTCCCAACATCCCCCACTAGAGTCTTATTGTATCTTGTCTCATTTACTAGCGTACCATCTTCTAGTAAAATGTATGTAACTGTAACAGTTTTGTCCAAATTACAATTACTGTAAATTTACTCACTGCTTTCTTGTGCTGCTTTCTCTCGCACTTCGATTCCGCATTTTTTTGATGTGGATTGATCTGCTTTGCTCTTTGATTTGACCTGCGGTTGGTTTGAAGTAGCTTTACTCGTGAATTCTCTCCTTAAATCATGTAATTCTTGTAACAACCTTTCCTTCTCTTCGTACTCCTCTTCAGTTCCTGATCTGCGACAATATAAAAAATTTAGAGAATGCTTTCAGTATGTATTAATAGAAATTGTACAAGGAAACTTACTTTTTGATGTTGGCTTTATCCTCCTGTATAAATAATTTCAACAAGTATTCCAAATGGTCTTTTAATGCTCGAAGCGTAAAGGGTTTTCCAGTATTGGTAACAACGGTTTCATGGATTACACCCCACCGTAAAATATCTTCAAACGGATTTTCTGCAGCTACTGCACGTAGTAAATCCAAATCATCAGTTGTTGTAAAGCGTAGTCTTCCGTTTTTACTACACATTTTGTTAAAAAATTCTCCATGCACGGCACAACTTCGTATAATAAATTTGTATGTATACAAACACACAACCTCAAACTATGACGTCACACAAAATACCGTATGATCTTTACGAGTCCCGGTAAATGAGTTCAAATAACGTAGTCCGCTAAATATTTAGCGTTACCGTATCTTATGCTCATGCGTAGTAGCGCAAAAATAGCGTTAGCGTTTACCGTAAAAGCCACGAAAACTCATTTTCCTACACGTTAATAGCCAGATATAATTTAGTATCATATCTAAATAGAAATAAATTTCATACTGGTGTTTATTGTTAGTTAGCGGTGTCTGATGCACATAATTTGGCTTTTAAATAAGTCAATAAAAAAAACTTTAAAAGTTTCACACATTTTTCTATAGACTGTTGTTATTAACGACTTGTTCGTTTTTTGAAAATAAGTATTGTAACGTGATTTATAAATTTAAGGGTTCGATTTATTATCAATATTTATTAAACAAAACTAAAACACTATAAAATCCGTGCCTACAATTTTATATCGGTCTTATATGGTTCTCGTTGACGGCTGATCGATATGCCATAAGGAACAGGTGGAGGTACTGGTCCCAATTTTTCTGATGTTCTGCCACGACTTTTGAAAGATATTTACCCATCGTTCGATTCATTCTCTCACCATTCCATCTGACTGAGGATGCAAAGGTGTTGTTCTGGTTTTATTGGCTCCTACCAATCGACAAACATCTTGGAACAAAGCCGATTCAAAGTTCCTTCCTTGGTCTGAATGGATTTCTATAGGAACACCAAAACGTGTAAAGAACTCCTTTACCAACACTTCTGCAACTGTTGCTGCCTCTTGGTTTGGAATGGCGTAAGCTTCAGTCCACTTTGTGAAATAATCCATAGCGACTAGGATATATTTATTTCCGCCATCTGTCTCGGGAAACGGTCCTGCGATATCGATAGCAACTCGTTCCATCGGACTACCAACGTTATACTGCCTCATGGGTGCCTTCTTCTTGGAAACTGGTCCGTTTCCAGTAGCACATAACTCACATTTTTGACACCATCGCCGGACATCTTCTTTACGGTTGACCCAATAGAATCGCTCACGTACCCTTTGCAACGTTTTCGTAATACCAAAGTGTCCTCCGGAAGCGCCGTCATGCAATTTTCGCAATACTTCCGACACTTTGCTTCTAGGTACTACTAATTGCAGCGTCGATTCGGTGCCATCTTCACTTTCAAGGGTCCTATACAACAGGTTGTCTTTCAGAGTCAGGCTATTCCATTGGCCCCAATAACTCTTTACTTCAGGACTTGTGGCACTAATGTCTTGCCAGTCTGGTCTTTGTCCGTGGCGCATCCAATTCAGAACAGTTTTTATACTTGGGTCGTTTTCTTGGGCCGTTTTGATTTCGCTTGGCTTCCACTCCTCACTCTCTACAGTTGTTCGTCGCAGATGGCCAATCTTGTCTTCTATTTTAGAACAATGTGTGGAGTTGTCCTTGCACGGTCTTCTTGACAAAGCTTCTGCATTATTGTGAACTTTTCCAGACGACGAAATGTTTACAGTGAAGATCGGGGCTTTGTTTCTGCAGGTCGACGATAGCCCCTTCCTGTCGACCTTTCTTAGTTTTCCGACTGCTGCAATGGTTTTTGGCAGTTGCGGCGAACGTGTCCAATCTCGCCGTGGTTCACGTTTCTTTGCCAGTGACTGTATTGCTTTATTGATCTTTTCTTCCATTACTTTACTGACCTTTTCTTCCACTTCTTTACTGAGCTTTTCTTCAAAACTTTCAGAGCCACCTTCCTCTTCGATGGTTCTTACCCGGCTGTCACTGCGAGGTTCCACCATACGTACTCGCGCACTTTCATGACTAGCTTTCTTGGCGGCTTCGAATTCTAACGCATGGGCCAAAGCTTTCTCAATTTTGTCGTGCCTAGCCAGTCTCAAAGCCTGCTGGGCATCTCCATCACGAACGGCATCGATAAATGTTTGTACAGCCAGTTGATCAAGAAAGCTCTCCGGTGCCGTAGGGTATGCCATTCGAATCAGTCTAGCGATGTCCGCTTCAAGTTCCTGCAAACTTTCTCCAGGTTTCTGCATTCGGTTCTTGACTTGGGCATAGTAAACTTGCTGAAGATGTTTATCGCCATATCGCATTTCGAGTCGCGCTACTATTTGTTGGAAGTTCTGTTGATCCTCGGGGATGGTCCGCAACACATCCAGAGCATCTCCTCTCAGAGCAAGAATCAGGGCTGTAGTTTTGTCTTGAAGAGTCCATTTATTTGCCGCAGCCGCTGCTTCAAACTGTCGAACGTACGTGGTCCAAGGAATCTTACCATCAAAAGTAGGTGGCTTTACTCGGGCTTGCTGAACGTCGCCTTCTACTCTTGTATTTGTTTCTGTGGCACTACTAGTACGCTCTTTCGTAGTCAGTCGCAAGAATTGCTCGCGCAGCTCTTCATACTTGTGCTCAATCTCGACGAATGTTGCTTTAAATGTTTTGGAAACTTCCGTAATTCTATCTTCAACTTTTTCTTCAATTGATTTAGAGACTTCTTCGATAATCTTTCTAGAATTTTCTTCCAACTTCTCGAACTTCTCTTGAATATTTCTAGAATTTTCTTCATTAATCTTTCTAGAATTTTCTTCCACTTCTCGAACTTCTCTTGAATATTTCTAGAATTTTCTTCCATCGAATCTTTCTAGAATTTTCTTCCAACTTCTCGAACTTCTCTTGAATATTTCTAGAATTTTCTTCATTAATCTTTCTAGAATTTTCTTCCATTTTCTCGAACTTCTCTTCAAAATTTCTAGAATTTTCTTCCAACTTCTCTTGAATATTTCTAGAATTTTCTTGGGTGCTTTTCATTTCTTGTTGCAACACCTGTTGGCCATTTTGGATTTGCTGGAGCAAATTGAGCATCGTTTCTTCCATTTTAGCGGCAGCAGATCTTGTTACAGGCATACACAAGCACAAGCACAAGCACTTAATTTAATCTTACTTTTAATTAATTTAATTAATCCCACTTCTGACACCAATGTAACGTTATTTATAAATTCGGGTTCGATTTATATCAATATTTATTAAACAAAACTAAAACACTATAAAATCCGTACAATTTATATCGATTATTTATATCACACTTCGAAATTTATATCAGCTTTTCGCGCTCGATGTTTACGTACTCGTTCGGTAGTAGACTGCCGCGATGTTCGGTCCGCAACCATTTATACACGCAAGCAATGTAAGTCCAGTACATTCTCGAATGTTCCTACTATCGCGCGCGTAGAAAATTCCAGAGCGCCAAAGGCGACGTCATGTCTGGAGCATTTCCGTTACAGTATTCAATTCAACAAATTTTGGAAGGATCCATTGTAAAAAATAAAAAAATAACTTAGTTTCGCTGTCATTTAACCTATTGGCTATGGTTTCAGATGCTAGCAGTCTGTGTCCAATCCACTGTTGGGTAAAATATAATTTTAATGGCTCCCACTGCTCAATAACTCTGTTGACTACCATGAGCAAAGAAAGCCACCTGGTCTGCGAAGGTCGCAAAATTTTATGGGGCTCTATATTACAAATTTCTTGAAATTCTTGAAACTGAGCCTGTCGTTTGCTACTGTGTTTAAAAAAATTAAAAATGTCTCTAGCTAAATCTTCACAGTATCGCGGCAGAACTTTACATGCTTCACTAGCACATAAATGTAGTGAATGGCATACACATTTTTGTATAACTATACCAGGAAAATTTATTTCTAGTCGAGTCACGACAGAATTTTTTGAGCCGAACATTGTATTGCACCCATCCGAACCAAAGCCTATAATATGATCTAAAGGTAACCTAGACGATGTAAAGACATTCATAAGCTTATTTTATATTACCTCAGCCGTAGCACCGGTATTTGCTTCATCAGCATTTTTACTAGAAAAACACTGGACTAAACTAAAAAAACGTGTTGTAACTCTGTTCAACTTTAAAGAAAAGTATCTCACACAAACACACATATTCTTTACTGTACCTATGTCTGTAGACTCATCAATCAAAAAACTAAATCTTGTCTTTCTTAGTTCTTCAGTGAGCTCATCAAAGCAGCATTGTCCCAAAACATTTTTTACCACGCCGGTACACTTGGTTCGTGCCATTTGAATTTCCTTAGCGATTCGAGAATCTGGAAAGATGTTCTTCATAAGGGGCACTAGATGATCGCAAAGTTTCATAGGTAAATTGTGCTCGGCAATAAAAGCAGCTACTTTAATTTCTGCTCGCGTCACTTCATCCTGCGCTTCATTTTGTGACTCACAAGCTATACCTTCCCCTTCGCTGTCACTACTTGTAGAATTACAGATATTAATATCTAAAGGCCGTTTGACATTTATGTAAATTTTGTAACAAATTTACATGCAAATTGTGTGCAAAAATTTACAATAGTGGCAAACATAAATTCTTGTATTAAATTTGTAAAAATATTTTAGTTGTGAAATATATAGAACTTGTTCTACATTCTGTGTAAATCGACGCGTAAATCTGCGCAGACTGCTAATTGCATTCGTTATGTTTTGACGCCTTTTCTGACATTTACTGGAAGAAAAGAAGAGGTTAGTTTGTGTCTTTGTGAATTTCTTTAGTACAACCAAAGATATTAATACTACTAGTATTATCTTTGGTACAACCACGACAGACGGTTCGTTATAAACTATTTTCGTGTTGTGTGATAAAAATGTCGTGGTCAAACAGAGAAGTTAGGGTATTAATTGAAGAAGTGCAAAAATATCCCTGCCTCTACCTAGTGAAATCGGCTAATTATAAAAATAAACACGCACGTAACGAAGCATTAGCTTCAATTGTTAAGGCACTTTTGCCATTACGACCCGGAGTTTGCGAAAATGACATAAAAGCCAAATTCAACGGCATTAAAAGTAACTTTTTTAGTGAACATCGCAAAGTTTTAGCCTCTCAGAAGAGTGGTGCCGGCTCAGATGATGTAAGTTCTCCATTCCTTTACCCATGGATGTCTAATTGATTAATTTGTTACAGGTATACAAACCCACATTGTGGTATTACGATCTTCTTGTGTTTCTATTAGAACACTATGAAACACGATCCGCATATGACTCATTAGGAGAAGCATCACAAACTCAAACGCAGAATGAAACCATCACAGAAAGTCTAGAGGAGGAAGTGATGGTGATGCTTTCTTCTCTTATCGTTAGAAAAATACTAAACATCTGTATTACAGGAAGAAGACACAGTATATATGTTAGATACCGAAACTGGAATGCTAATCCCAGAATCTAATATTAGTGAGATTGATAGGGAACAACCACCGATACTCAACACACCCAAGACAAATTGCAACAGCAATCGCAAAAGGAAGAAGACCAGCAATGAAGATAATTCACAATTTTTTATGGAATCAACTAAAGCTCTTCAAAATTTAACGGCGGCCATGCAGTCAAAACAGAGTGATAAGTTGCTAGGTGACAAAAACCAAATTTTGGCTAATTACATCGTTTCAAAACTAGCAAAAATTCACGAGGAAATTAAAGAAGAAATAGAAATGAAAATTGTAAATATTTTATTTGAGGGGATACAACGGTCAAACAATTTGTAGTTATAAGCACTAATATGAATAACCTACTTTCATTTCATTTAATTAAATGTTTATAAATTATGTGTTTTAACAGAATCCTCCTGCCATGCAACTGCGCCTTCCGGAGAATTAAAATACATTTTATAATTATTTCTAATGTCCCTTGCACTATTACTAGAGTTATTTGATCCTTGTCTACACAATGTCTCTAAATATAATGGTACACTGGTTTCTTCAGTAAAAATATTTCCATTATTATATACGGGATCATTTTCATGGCATAAATAATTATGAAGGACCACACACGCATGTGTTATAATTTGAACTTTGTTAACGCAGAGGTTAATTGGATTTAGCAGCACTCTAAAACGGTTGGCTAACATTCCAAAGCTATTTTCGATCATGCGTCGCTCTACTTAATCTGTAGTTAAAGATTCTGGTGTCATGGCAAAGGCCTCGTTGTGGATAGGGCTTCATCAAGTTGATTAATAACGGAAAAGCATCGTCTGCTACAATAACATATGGTGCTGTATTGCGAGTACCTGGTAAAAAATCAGGTGGAGGTATATTAAGACTATTATTATTCAACGCCCTTGCTAATGAACTACGATGAAAGATGCCACCATCACTAACTCTTCCATTTACACCAAGATTTACATATGTAAACCTGTACTTTGCATCACATAACGCTAACAAAACAATGCTGTGTGTCCCCTTATAATTATAATAATAAGCTCCATCAGAGATAGGAGGCCTAAAGTTAATGTGTCTGCCATCTAGGGCACCTATACAGTGTGGGAAATTCCACAGATCATAGAATTCCTGGGCAATTTTCTTCCACTCTTCTTCAGTATCTGGAGTCTAGAATGTAGAAATTTTTATACTAGTTACTATGATTTATTTCTTACCTTTAGATATTTTGGTGACAAATGTTGTATAATTGCAGTGCATACCAAAGGAACAAATCTGGAGATGGTGCTTTCATGAACTCTAGTGCTGTACATTAATGATCTATAGCTCTCTCCCGTTGCAAGAAATCGCAGTGTTATTTGCAACCTAAAAGAAAATATAGCTAGTAATAATATCAAGTTAGGTAGGCATGCTTGTAGTTACTTGTCTGTGGTGGAGATAGGTTCTCTCATGAATGTAACTTCTTTTCTTATGTCCTCATCAAGCAAATTTAATAAGAAATTAAACTGATGTACAGATAATCGTAAAAAGTTTTTGTATGAATTGGGATCTTCTGATCTTAGTTCTTGATTTAGCATGTTCACCACACCTCTACCTCGAATTCTACGATGTATCCATTCACGACACCATCTTCGTGAACGCCTTTTTTCTTTATTTAATAGCATTACACCAGCACGTGTAAGCATGCAGACAACGATGGCTGAACACACACATTCTATATCATCTTCATCCATAACAAATTCTCGTTAAACCGATAAAATTAAACTACAAATTCATTAGTTTTACAAAAATGTAACCAGTCTATCTGAATAATATTATGATATGAAATGAAATATAATCAGCTGTTCAAAAGTTTGAAGTACGCAATCGCAGTTTTTAAATAATTTACGTATGTTGCAAACATCTACATTCCATGCAAAATTTGTTAGCAATTTTGTTAGCAATTTTAAACGCTTTCCACGTTTGTAAATTTTTGATAAAATTCGGATGTAAATTTGTTACAAAATTTACATAAATGTCAAACGGCCTTAAG